ATTGTTGCATGTTCGAGTGATCAACTGAGTGCTCGCCTGTATTGTGTGCAGGTGTCTCGTTCAAAGATTTTGTTACCCTGCAGTCTTCTACCCTGCAGAGGGTTAAGATTTCAGAGCCTGAGAACGCTTCATGTTTCTGGTGTTTCTACCCCTTAAGTGCATATTGACACCGCTTATGTTTCACAAAAGATACATCACATTTGGCAAGTAGATATTTCCTGTACTGGATATGATTTAGGGTTGGGAGATTTGCAGACAAAATCTACCATATAAAAAAAGCCCCAGGACATTACAAATGCATTTTTTGTATTTAAAATGTCTTATGACTAAGCTGTCCTTACAGCATGTCTTCAACACAGGAATTTTGCCCAGTCATCATGCTGTCTATCTGCAGTCCCTTTCCCACATTGCACATTAGCCCTTAAATGCTCTGGCTGCTCTGGTATGTCGGCACCATGTGGGCACGGCCAGGAGCTAGTTGTCCACGGGCTGACAATTTGACCTACTGGTCTTGGCGGGCAAATTCTAGTTGAGATTATTAATTCCTATACATCCCTCGATTATGTTTCGATATGATGGACTTTGCTGAATAGCAGCTTCTTAGTGGTAATCACCTCATAAAGTAATGGACTGCTGTTTTTGGGGAAAGAGCTTGCCCTGGAAATCATCTTCCTTTCATTAGATCCTCTACCTGGGTGTGTCTGGACTACTGGCCACCCATAGGTACTTGTAATTAGTTTTTAAGCAGTGTTTGAAGTAACTCTTATCTAATACACAGGGACAATAGGGCCAGACTATATATCAGTACTATCTGATTGTGAAGTATACTTATAATCTCCAGAAGACCCCCTATTAAAATAAGCATTCACAGCAGTAATAAACATGTTATGTATAATTAAGAGCACGGCTGCTTTGGATGCCATGTGGCTGCGGTCACAGACGGCTGGTTTCAGCAACCAGGTTTCGTTCGGCCCACCTCAGCTCCACCCACACTTTGCCCATTTTTGGACTAACCAGGAACGGGGCGGGGTCAGGACTGCCAAGATGGTGATGGTCAGAGCTCCCAGAGGAAAGGGGAAAGTCCCTGTCTGCCTATATTTTTCTTTCACTTAAACTCTCATTCTTTGTTCACTTCAATCGTCACCTCCCTTCCTGCTCACTATGAGCAATCTGGACCTGACAGTTTCATCAACCCACAGCTTGCATGGGCAACCAGGATCTGTACTCCCCCCCCTTTGGTCCCCCTTTCCTTCTCACATACTCCCCTCTTATTGCTCTCACCATGTATTACAAGGAGTTGTAGGGCCATATGACAACAATTACATTGCCTGACCACTGCACAGTTACCGCCCACCACACAACCACACACACACACACACACACACACACAGAGTACAGCTGCTGTCCCCTCTTAGGCCTTGTCTGTGGCTTTTATTTCTGCTGCCTGACTCTATTTGACATGAGCCAAAGGGTGGCTATCAGAGGAGCAGCAGACAGCTTCAAATACCAAAGTTGTGCTGACTCATGGCTTAAAATGCTGCGGTGCTGAGAGGCTGAGTGTTTATTAGCTTGTCCACCAGTGTTCTGCATGTTTTCTATGAAAACCTTTTCACTTAAAAAGATAACTTTTCAAGAATTAAGGTCTTTTTTGGCCAGTATGTTTGCTAAATCTAAAATAATATTTGAATGTTAATTACTGTATTTATGATGACTAACAAAGGATGATGAAATACAATCCAGGAAGTTCAGTTTGAGTAAAAGCTTAATGTGTTTAAATGGCTTGTCAGACAGGCAAACATCACAATACTGTTTGTAATACTCACAGGTAGGATTTTACAACTCTGGAAAGTTATCACTCCAGCAACAATTTCATCTTTCGTCATGAGGTCAGGTAAAAAAATAGAGAAACTCCCCATTAAGTAATCCACAGGAATGTGCACTTGCTGGAAGACTGCACATGCCAGACTGTCTACAGTAAAATAAATGAGAAGGTTCTGTTTTTTTTGTTTGTTTTTTTTACGCAGGACGACTGTTGGTATGAATGTGGCAGGAGATGAGTACTCAGTACACATTTAGTTGTGTATTTCCATACAGCTCAGGGACTTGTGAGATTAAAAAAAGATTAAAAAAAAAAAATCAAAATCCAAACTGCAGAGGCAGCGGTATCTGTTCCCTAATCCCTAGTAAGGGATCCTACATTTCCCATAATGCAACTGCATCTCAATAGCATCTTTTGTTTGTTCATGCCTGGTAATTACCATTGTCTTTCAAACAACACGCCATCCTCTGTAACACATGCTTTCATTTCAAAATTTGAAATCCTGAACTCAAACTAAGATACTTATTTTAGATATAACTTTTTCAGGCTTTGGAAAGCTCCCTGGAGAGCCACAGACAACATTATACGATAGTAGTGCTCAACTGTGGTAAAGTTTGTATGCTCACGACACATCGAATCATAACCAGTCAACAGATATTACTTTTTACTTACTTACTATATGGCAAAAATGACACACTGTGTTACACGAGCATTTAAAGCAACATCTTCAAAGTATTCAGCCTCACTTAGTGTCTAACTGTGTGAAGTTAAGCATGAACCCTTCCCCAACCCTTCCTTTTGTCACTTGCCTCTGAATGAGCTGATAAAGACCGCCTACTACCATTCAACTAAAAAGAAAGAAGGAAGTGGAGAGTGAGTTTCGTACCTCTACCAACTAATGTTTAACACAGTAGTTATTTTACCTGCCATTTTCTGCAGTAAGGGAGGCACGATGTTGTCTGATTAATGTTTAATAGTGGGTGTAGATAGGTCTCTTTCACTGTAATGCCTGTCTGATCTCCAGCTGCAATCATTCAAAGTCATCATTAAAGTATTTCTGATTCTGATTCAAGTGTGTGGTGCTTTGTGTCAAAAGGGCATCTCCAGAGTGTGGATGTACAGGTGCTTAATGATGGAGCTCACTTAATTATAGTGGACTTATCCCAGTCTGTGACCTGGCTGTTGGACATAAAGGATTGGCACACTGTAGGAGGGGGAGAAGCGAGTCAGTAGGCTGGAGGAGGAACTGGTTCTTATACCACAAGAGACTGTAGCGAGTGTATAAAAATGTATGAGAACAGAGGGAAGGAAGGAAGACGTGCAGACCGCAGAGTGAGAGAGCTGAGTTAATAGAAACTTTTAGAGAGGAGAAGGATATTGATAGGCGTAGGTAGTACCCAAGACAGTGTGCATACTTAGTTCCCTTTCAATGTAACTGTTTGCTACTTTATGTTAACGTTTAAATAAATCTACGTTATAAACATTTTTTGTCTTCTTCCTGCTCCTCGGTCATGGACTGTACATAGGTAGTTTGGGTTACACTGTTTATTTTTGTAAAATCGTTTTTTGAAATAACACTCAAACACACGCAAATTGATCCGTTTTAACAGTGCCATTTCTTGAAAAGCTTTATTTTTTTCTCAGATCATTCTGTTCTTGCTGGTTATTAAAGCATATTGGTTCTGGTTTGATGGTCAAACTGATATGTTATAAAATGAAAGAATCAGAATCGGTTTTATTGGTTTTCACATACAAGGAATATGGCATATTGGGAAAATATAAAGGAAGTAGAAATGGAGACATGTACAATGTCAAGTTAAAAAAATGAATGAAGAGCTGTACAGTTTGTTGAAATAAACAGTAAATATATCCTATATCTCTAATATAGGGCTGCCTCTTAAATAATTATTTTCATTAGCAACTTAATCTGCAGATTATTTTCTCATAGTTAAAAATGACTAACCTTGTTAGTCACATCGATGTGATTGTACTTTAAACTCATTCTACTTTAAACTCGTCTTATGTGGTTTCATCCACTGGTATGTAAAACATTGCTGACATAATTAAAGACTCGACATGTCACTTGTCACATTCAGTTTTAGTTGCTTCAAAGGCAGATTCTTGTTGACCAAGGTCTAGGAACAGGAAGGCTTGGCTGCTTTGAAGTCTGGTGCAGGCCAGCGTCGACTTTAGATTCAGTTTGAACCATATCAAAGAAATTGTTTTGAGGACACGAGGACTGCTTTTAGCGGTTTCTAGTGATGTCACACTTATGTTGATGGTTGACTCCCAGGAGAAACGTTCAGACGGAGCTTAGCCAGAGGTGATTTTTCATTACACTTCAAACTGTAGACATCTACTTAGATAAATGTTCCATTGATCTTTTTTCATGAATCATATTTGTATGGTACCAACATCGAAACTACTCTGCTGCAGCAGCTGTTCAGACAAGGCATGGGGAAACACTACCACCTACTGCCTACCATCATAAACCCACAACATGGCCAGAAATATATTTGGCTTAAAATGAACCATTGATTGTATCAGTTATCGACCGTAGTTGGTATGAGCATTTCAGTTCTAGAGGCCTTCTTTATGGGATAATCACATATTAAAACAAAGAATGTGTCTTGGATTATGAACTTACAGTCGCACAGTCAACTGAGTACTTTCATTGTGTAGTGAGCCAAAGTGAAATCCGGCCTTCAAGGTGAGGGATTTATATGCTAATGTTTACCAGTATTGTACTGGCAGGTGGTGACATAATTACTTTGCTCAGTATTAAAATAAATGCTCATGTCCCAGTTCCTGGAATGTGTGTTTGTGCTATGAATCAAAAGGTTTCACAAGCTTGTGGTTCATCTGCTAGACCCGGCTTGACTTCCACTGAAAGTGATAACAAGAGTGATGCCTTCTGCTTTTTGTTTTTACCATCTTATAATGGTAGAATTGAGCGTGGAGAGAGATTTGGTAAACATGTTTTATGGAACACAAACATTAGTCTGCAGTGTATCTTCTTCTTAACATATTTCCTGCCACAAACCAGACCTCCAAACAACTCTGAAAACCACCTCTTTTTTTTCGATGCATTTCTCTGTAAGAAACTTACACCTGCACATTCATTTCATGTGACAAACATTTTTCTAACTCTTTTATGTGGTCTCTCTCTCTCTCTCTGCAGGAGCAGATTCACGTGCCTGTCTACCACCCAACACCCAGCCAAGCACGACTGGCCACTCAGCTGACAGAGGAGGAGCAGGTACGCATTGCCCAGCGAATCGGACTCATCCAGCACCTTCCAAAGGGCGTCTACGACCCGGGGCGGGATGGCTCTGAGAAGAAGATCAGAGAGTGAGTAGAAACCCCAACAATTACAAAATGATGTTTGTCCTTTTATGTAACTTCCAGTATTTTATGCATTTTTGTGCTGTCCATATCCAATTCCCAACAAAGTGTGGCGTCTGTGTTCACCTACACAGGTGTGTCATCTGTATGATGGACTTTGTGTATGGAGACCCCATCCGGTTCCTGCCCTGCATGCACATCTACCACATGGACTGT